ATGGTGCACCTTATCATAGATCAAGGTATCTCTCTTGTATGCCCCAAAACTTCGCTCGTCGTCACGCCCGAACCGCAAAATGTTTTTTCCCTTTTCGTTGGCTTTTATCAACAATTCTCCTTATAGGATTCATTGAGAACTTGACAGTAAACTACGGCAAAATAAGTGGGTCGATTTTTTTCGACATTTCCAATCTTTTGGTGGGATTTTTCTCAGAAATCTGAGGAAGCGACGTCGGGCACTCTATTGTCGTAGACAACTGTTGTCCTTGCGCGACTGTTATGGTGCACCTTATCATAGATCAAGGTATCTCTCTTGTATGCCCCAAAACTTCGCTCGTCGTCACGCCCGAACCGCAAAATGTTTTTTCCCTTTTCGTTGGCTTTTATCAACAATTCTCCTTATAGGATTCATTGAGAACTTGACAGTAAACTACGGCAAAATAAGTGGGTCGATTTTTTTCGACATTTCCAATCTTTTGGTAGGATTTTTCTCAGAAATCTGAGGAAGCGACGTCGGGCACTCTATTGTCGTAGACAACTGTTGTCCTTGCGCGACTGTCATGGTGCACCTTATCATAGATCAAGGTATCTCTCTTGTATGCCCCAAAACTTCGCTCGTCGTCACGCCCGAACCGCAAAATGTTTTTTTCCTTTTCGCTGGCTTTTTCCCAACTAATTGGTAGCTGTTAGATTCCCCGTGGAAATGCTATCTAATGATATAGCCCGTGATGAAGATCTCCCTTCATAACTATTATCAGATAATAGGCCCTACGGACCTATATATTCGACGTGTAGCGTTGTTGTGTGTGAATAAAACATATTATATTAATAATTTATCATAAATACATAAAGGGAGTATCATGGGGGGAAATACAGAAGTGGTGGATAGAGCCTCCAGCTCACGCCGAGGTGGCGGGCTGATATCGAGGTCGTTCCTGCTGATGTGAAGGTGTCCTCGTTCCTGCCAGTTCTCACGTTATATACCCTCGTGCGGTACAGCGTAGCAGTTGTTCTTCGGCTCACACGGTTGCCTATGCTACGACATCTCCCTTCCTACAGTAAGCTCGTCCTCGAGCTTCAACAAGCTCTCGAGCTATACCGTATTTTATGGAGTATAGTGCGAGAATGGAATGAGGGAATGGACTGGAACATACAACAGAAGAACTGGCTAATGAAAAGTGAGACTTTCTAGACAGTGAGAACTCGAACTTTCGCCGTACTTTCAAAAAGAGGGCTCGACCTCGAGCCAGGAAAGGAAAAAAGTAGAGGTGTGATGATATGAGTATATGTGTTACATTCGTTCGCGATTGGTTAAGTTATGGGCTATGCTTATACACTTTGCTAGTTACTTCGTTCTCATAATACCATACGGAAGGTAGTCCTATGCGTTATTACATGATGGTCGAAATCTAGGACATTATAGTACCAGTCCGAGTTATTCTAGATAATAACGGACTGGTATGGAAATGTTATACATATATCAGTCTTAATGTGGTGGATTGCGACTGGCATACGAACATAGAGAAAATACTGTGATGCGAATACTAGTCTCGTCAAAAACGACTAGTATAAGTTCGTTTTTTTGTACTTTACGATAGAACAATGTGTGGGATAGCGCTGCACGGGGGCTCTTTGAACCGCCAATTCAATGAGTGCAAGAATGATGATCGCGACATTGCATCATATGAAAAGAAAATGTGTTGAACTGACCAGCGGAGGCTGTGTGGTTGAAGTGACAGACTCCTGATAAGTTTACCTGTTTCACAGATTGTCGCTGAGAATACGGTGTTTCTCCTGAAGACGGCGTGAACGCCTGATTAATGGTTGTTTAATCAAGAAAATTGATTTTAATGGGGAAAATCTACTTCCAGTCGGGATTGCGCCATGCATCCGTCTGACTACTATATAATGGGAATGATTGAAAGGTGTTTCACCATTGTAACGATACAACTGTTGGGAAGAGCCCTAGGTCAGGAATTTATCTATGGGCTGCCCATGTACGTGGTAACCAAATGAAATTGGATACGATGCGAAGGTCAAAAGGCAGAAAAAAATGTAAATACTTCCTGAATATGTTCCTTTTCGCCAACTTCACTGAGTTTATTCAAGAGATGTGATTGAGGAGGACGTCTGCGTTATAATATATATCACGCATCTTAAACTTTGTGACTCAACGGTGAATCGGCTTCTGTCTGCGGTCCTAAACGTGTCCACCAAAGTCTGGTTTATTGCTACTGGCGTCTGGCCCAAAAGACGTTGATGGGCATAAATATAGGGCGAGCCTGAATCCATCCATTCTACCATACCATTCTGTGAATCGCTAGCCCTTATCTCATTTTTGTTCCTGTTCTTTCTCCTCTTCATTTCGATGATTTATATCGATACATATACCATATATTTCAGAGCTACTCATCATGAGCCGTCCGGTATCAAGCCTTTCCACCGACAGTGACCACTCCGGCCTTTTCGGATTCGAAGGAATCAGATTTAAAGATGCCTCAGACTCCGTGGTGAGCTTTTGTTCAAGAAGAGAGTAAAAGAGAAAGTGTTATTCATATATTATATAATATACCTGTTTTTTTCAGAAACACTGTGATCAGTGTTTTTCCCCTGAGGAATTTGTACAGAGGAAGGCCGAACTTCGTGCCATCCTCGACGCCACGAAAGAGGCTTCCCTCGCACAGAGTGGATTGCAACAACAGGCCCTAATAAAGACTTATTACGAGAGAAGCTCTCAAAGAGTTCGAGGTGGAATTGGGCCGTCTGATCCACAGTCTACGAGTGAGTAAAAAAAATTGTTTCTACATTTATTTCTATTTATCAATATTTATCTTTCTAGGACGTGTCTGACCGAGAGGGTCGGCCGAACTCTCCGATGCCAAAAGCTTACGAAAGGCGATTCTATTGTGGAGGTTTCCCTACCATCATGCGTGAACCGAGGAATATGTAATTGTGCCGAAATTGTTTGTATATTTTGTGTAGTCTCAAACTGTCAGACTAGACATTTTCTTTTTAGAGGACCGCACCCCGACCAAAGGTTCCATGAAAAGATGTTGGAAAAAATGCTAGTAAGTTTCAATATTTTTGGATTCCTACCTTTGATTCGTTCGTCCTTTAGAATATAAACAATTTCACCTCTTTTCAGTGGGAATCCCGCCCGTGCAACATCTGCATCACACAGATTGGAGAGCTCAGCGAGCTCCGGGCAAGGATTGAGCACATCAAAGCCTGGGGAAAACGCTCCCACGAGGCGACTATTCAGCAGGACAGAATTAATAACGAAATAGACGACCATATCCATAACGTGCTCGTCCTTGTCCCACCAGTGTGTGACAATTCTGAGAATGTAAGTGAACTTTTATTCTTTTGTTTCTTTTTTTTCCTTTGTAGTGGCAATACATGTATCGAATATTTCCAGTTCTCCGCCACAATATCCGAAGACGTAGAGAACGTCAGGGTAGCGTTTAGAAGAGCGCTGGTGACACCGAGCAGCGAACCAAATGGGTTCGAACTATAGTAGCAGCGTCAACAAAGAAGAAGAAGACCACCCACCTCGTTGCACTTTCCTTGTTGTGTGATGAATAAAGAGTTCGAAGAAGTGTAGTTTCGGGAGAGGGGGGGGGGAGAGAAAAAACTTGCTCGGGATCCAGCCGATTGCGAGTCATTCTGTGCCTCTTTTTTTTATGGTAGGCGCCTAAGTTTTATTGCCTAATAAATGACTTGTGTCCTGGTAGCTAGAGATTCCTGTTGAAGACTTACGCGTGCTACTGTAATTGCGACCTCACAGGTTGTGTTTACCTTGGCGATGATCTGGTAGCAGACAGCCGGCGAGAGGCTGAAAATTATTAATGGTCACGGCTGCTAATACCTTGCGCATGCCACTTCCTGACGCTCCAGCTCGGTTACGACTTGCGATTGTACTGAATCTTCGGAACAGCCGCTGAACGTTGGATAGTGGAAGGAAGGCTTATTTGTAAAGCATCGACCCGAAGTCTCGCCTCGAGATTTCAATCTCGACTGGATACGAAATATTTAATAGCAGTCTCTCTGATCTGCTCACTATATGTGGTTCTCGAATATCTCGAGCAGTCCATCGTATCATTTTTAATCTCGATCAGACATGAAGCGCTTAATAACAGTCTACCCTATCCAATCATGAAGAGAAATGAGATTAGCTACTTCTCATTCATTAAGCATGCTTCGAGAAGCCTATCATGTCAGTTCCTGGAGGGGTGAAAAGTGACAGAGGGGCTCTCTAAAATGACGTCTAAAATGGCGATTGAGTCCTTATCTGATAATTATGTCGGCGTTCATAGAAAATAAATCATTGTTCGCTACAATGTGTACAATGTTCCTACCTTCTGGACTAGTTCCTAGACCAGAAGTACAATTACAGGGTCGTGGTCGTACAGATCAATGATTACAGCCATTGTCTGTCTTCTATAGGGAAAAAAATCAACAAGAAAAAAAATATATGATGGAGTTGAGGGATAAGGCTTTCATTTCTTCTGTTTGTAACTTGAGAGCACTTCCTCCATAACGCCTATTCTACTCTTAATATGATCAATCAGCTAAACTACCGATTCATCTAGGAATTACTCATTGACCTTGCACTACCGTGCCCTGCCGGACATTATACGACCACTGGACGCGTGGAATCAGCAGCAGGACACATGCCTGAAGCTGTCCTTGAGAATATTAATACGTATTCAATCCTCATCATCCTATTTTTGGGTTTTTGTCTTTTTTTTAATACCCGGGCGGATGGATGCCCTAATTTTGTTCAGGACTAGGATAGATAAAAGAAATGCTAAATAAATTGGCGTTCTTACTTGTTAGCAATATCAACACCTTAAGGTTACCCAAATATGGGTCACATGTTGACAAATGGGTGGGCCGCGATAAAAGGGAACTCGTCGCCAGGACTAACTAGAACTATTTGCTTTAGTTTAGTTCTATTAAAATTACAGTCAAAAGGTGCTCTGGATGCACATCATTTTGACAAGAAAGACCGTGCTCTGGATGAACACAGTGTTTCTACCCGTAAATTTAGGGGCGGGATGTCTAATTGTACCGCTACCCATAATAGTAATAAAGAGAGTAATGACGTATCGAAGGTACCGTTTGAGGGACGTCCTCTTTATGATATATATACTTCAAAGTGAATGGACTTACCTCTCGTCGCTGGGTCCATTTTCCTCGTCCATGTGTTTGAGTGTTTCAAGAATATCGTCACNGGGGGGGGGGGGGGGGGGGTTAAGGGTTTTTTTCTAATGCAGTACTAAAAAAATTGGCTATAGCTATTAAGTTTTGATTTCCCAGAGAAAAACTAAGTTTTGATTTCCCAGAGAAAATATCTTCCCGGGACCTCCATATCGGATGAACCTATTATCCGATGTCTAGCGTTCTGGTATGTGATTAAACATATGATATAAATAATTTATCATTAACATATAATGGGGAATAATATAAGGGAGTACATTAGTGGAGGATGGAGCCTCCAGCTCACGCCGAGGTGGCGGGCTGATATCGAGGTAGTCGAGGTAGTCGGAGGTGTCGTTGGAGGGGTAGTCGTTGTTGGTGCCAGTCGCTCGTTATGTACCCTCGCGTCGTACAGCGTAGCAGTTGTCCTTCGGCTTGTACGGTTGCCTATGCTACGATACTATTTTCTGCCCTAAGCTTGTCGCTGAGCGGTTTCCTGCTGGGCTTGTTTGGATATACATGTGGCCCGGTACTGTAATGGCGCGAGATTTAAATGGTGGCTGTGAGAGACTCGTATTCGCAGACGGCAGGCTCTGTTCCAAGTAGGTTTCCAATAATGAGTACTTGAATGAAACCTGGATGCGCAGGCAGGTGGGTACTGTGATGGCGGAAAAATGGAGCATTTTGAATAATAATTATTTGAAGGTGGTTAGACAGCCAAGTGGCTGGGTACTGAAGTGGCGAAAAGAGGATTGATTTGAATGACGATTAATTGAGTGGGGGTAAGATCTGCAGAAGACGAGGTTTTGTAGTGGCGGGAAAGTGGGACAGTTTGATAGGGAGTTTTGGGCGGTTTCAAGGGTATCAGATTATGGGCCGTATGCATAACGCTATAGATAATGGGCCCTACGGACCTATATATCCGACGTGTAGCGTTGTTGTGTGTGAATAAAACATATTATATTAATAATTTATCATAAATACATAAAGGGAGTATCATGGGGGGAAATACAGAAGTGGTGGATAGAGTCTCCAGCTCACGCCGAGGTGGCGGGCTGATATCGAGGTCGTTCCTGCTGATGTGGAGGTGTCCTCGTTCCTGCCAGTTCGCACGTTATATACCTTCGTGCCGTGCAGCGCAGCAGTTGTCCTTCGGCTCGCTCGGCTGCCTATGATATGACATCTCCCATCCTACAGTAAGCTCGTCCTCGAGCTTCAAACTAGCTCTCGAGCTATACCCTATTTTATGGAGTATGATGAGAGAATGGAATGAGAGAATTCATATGCTCGTGCCTTGGCCGAGTTACAGTGCGGAGACTGGAACGTACAACAGAAGAACTGGCTAATGAAAAATGAGACTCTCTAGACAGTGAGAACTCGAACTTTCGCCGTACTTTCAAAAAGAGGGCTCGACCTCGAGCCAGGAAAGGAAATGTAGAGGTGTGGTGATACGGGTACATGTGCTACATTCGTTCGCGATTGGTCAAGTTATGGGTTTGCTTATACACTATGCTAGTTCCTTCGCTCTCATAATACCATACGAAAGCTAGTCCTATGCGTTAAACAGTGTTTCGTAGGAATGTGATACCGTACAGCGGAATATAGCAAAATAAGAACCTTATTACAGTTTAATTAAAACTACATGACGGTCAAAATCTATGACATTTATAGTACCAGACCGAGTTGTGCTAAATAATGACGGACTGGTATGGAAATGTGATACATATAACAGTCTGAGCGTGGTGGGGTTCGACTGGGATATGAACACAGAGAAAATACTGTGATGCGAATACTATTCTCGTCGGAAACGACTAGTATAAGGGCGATCTTTTTTTGTTTTTGTTTTTGGTTGGGTAATATGTGGAATAAGCGCTGCACGGTAGCTCTTTGAACCGTCATTACAAAGAGTGCAAGAATGATGATCGCGGCATTGCACTATATGAAAAAATGTGTTGAACTTACCAGCGGAGGCTGTCTGGTTCTAGTGACAGACTCCTGATAATTTTACCTGTTTCACGGATTATTGCTAGAAATACAATGCTTCTGAAGACGGCGTGAACGCCTGATTAATGGTTGTTTCCTATGGTATGATGTTCGCTCGTTTGACTGTGGTGTTAATTGGTTTAATGTTTCAGGTATGGAAACATCAGCTGATGTGGAACGTGCGGAGTAAAGTTCAAGCCGATCAAGATGCATAAGTTGTCGCTTTTGGCGACCTACAAGTTTAGTAATTGTAATATTAGGGCGTTAAGTACTTTGTCAATTTTAGCTTAGTTGAAGGAGGAGTATCTGTGTTCGTAAGATTTCACATCCTTTCCGCATCGTAAACTAGCCGTTCGTAATCCTTGGGTAATGGGCCAAGAAGTTTTAGCCTTTGCTTAATTGGATTCGACAAAGCGTTCGTGAAAATCATGCTTTGGAGAAATTTCCGTTTATCAGCTAAGTTAGAGCCAGGGTATGCATCTAGAATTTCTTTTCGTATACTATTTGAGAATGCGATTGGTGACTCACCACGATACATTCGCATTTCCATAAGTTGTTCTCGCGCCATATCAAGAAAGCGGTCAGTAGAAAAATTTTGTTTTAGCTTGGTTGTTGCGCCTAACATCTTCGGGAAAGTTTTCGAAGACTGCTTTTGCGACTCCCGTTAAATGAGCTGGGAGAAGACGAACCATCTTGGACTCTGTTAGACCCATTATACTTCCTATTTCATTAAACTTCTTTAGGAAGTGCATAATCCTGCACCACCACTTTCTCCAGAAAATACAGGGAGTCTGTTTGCATATGATGATAGACAGAGTTTGTCAAGAACGGAATCGAGTCGGTCGGTAATACTGTGGTCTGAGATGTCCATATTGTAGTTATCTTCGATTACTGATTGTGGCCAAGATTCAAATGTTATTTCCGCGGGTGGTGCGGTGTCCGTAATTTGGTCCGGAGGATGTGGGTTACTTTCTAAACGGTAGTTATCACTATGGGATGGGATATGTATGTTCTACTGGCTGGCGTGATGACGGTGTCGGTACGCTTTTAAAAGTTTGCTATTATTAAGATTATTTGCCAGATGTCAGAGTTGACTACAGTAGTACAGTTCAAGTATTTTGGGTTTAGTTGTATGCAAATTCGGTTAGTTTCTGGGTTTTCTGTGACAACGTAGGGTTGGGAGGTTGTTGCGAGATCTGTAGATTGAGCTTCGACTGGGTAGATGGCTAACTGTGCTCTACCGTCTACCCAACGCATACCGTCTGGTGGAACCGATGAACTGCGTTCATCGGTTCCACCAGACGGTATGCGTTGGGTATTGTTGGAGTTGGA